GCACTTTAGATTAGTGGTATGAGTGGAGGAAGAAGAATGAAGCATATGTTGAAAAGAACACCCTGCCTACAATTATGTATGGTGGTGATTCGTAATGCCTTGGGACTGCTTTGAATCCTCTGGCACTGGAATCCTCCAGCATGTGGAAGGCAAGATGGATTCATTGAAGTATCAGGAAATCCTAGGAGAAAACATTATGTCCTCTGCAAGGAAACTGGAGCTTGGGCGTCATTGGGCCTGCCAACAAGACAATGATCCCAAGCATACCTCACATTCTACCAAGTATTGGTTGCAGAAGAAGTCCTGGGAAATTATGCAGTGGCCATCACAGTTACCTGACTTAAATCCCAAAGAAAATTTCTAGTGGAATTTGAAGAAGGCTGTTAGAGCACGCAAACCCAAGTATATTACTGAACTGGAGGTCACTGTTGATGAGCAATGGGCTAAGATTCCGCAGGAATGCTTGCAAAAGCTGGTGTCTAGCTATGCAACTCATTTGCCGCAGGTCATAACTGAAAAACGGTGCTCTACTAAGTACTAAAGATACTTGCTTTGAAGGAGTTGAATCATTTTGAGACTTGAGAAATCATTGTAAGTTGCATTTTCAGTTAAAGTTGGGGAAAACACTTGACGGATCAATTGTGTTGAGCTATTTCAATTGCTTTTGTTTGATTTATTCATTGAAAACAGCTTAGAGTCTGTAAATTTAATAAATAAACAATAAACTTGTTTTTTAATGTAATTGCATAGTTTTGATTACAACTTTATATATTTCCCTCATATCTACCACCTAATGGGTATGGTCTCTCTATCCAAGAGAAATGCTTGACATCCATTAGGCAACAAGGGGGTTTTAAGTGCTTTCTCAATTTGGTTTACACTGGCTACATTCTCATTGGTTAATGCCTGAATTTGGTGGACAAACTGATTGAACATCAGTATGACAGGATGCTATAAGACCCAACATGCCAAACTTAGAGTTAGCTAGTATCTAACTAAGAGATAGGAAAAGGAAAACAAAAGAAGGTGACCTAAAACCCGTCTTTAAGATGGCTGTCTTTAAATCAGTGAAAAAAGAAAGATGAACTGCACCTGAAAACGGGTGGAGAATAGTCAGAAGCAAGAAACCTTGAAGGATAACAGAAGAGCCACAATACAAGTAAACAAGCCAAAGTTTAGAATAACAGATATCAGGAGATGCAGGATCAAGCCGCGTCAAAACCAAATAAGACTGAACAATAGGAACACAGTGTCGAGTAAACAGTAACCATGAAAGGACAATAAGTACATAGGAATAACGTCAAACATGCATTGCCAGAACGTTCAGGTAGAACGTGCTCAACAATTGGGACATGTCCCGTGAGTTTGTCATTCAATATTGTAGAACACAAAATAACATTGAAAGGCAGAATTCAGTGTCAAAATCGTAGTATCAATGACACACAGAACACAGAAAAAATAAAAATCACAAACGTATGAAGAACAGTACATATAAGTAGTCTTGATTCTAATGAAAAATATAATCTGCCAAAAATATATAATTAAAATAATAATACTTTTACTAAGGGCATATTATTTTGAAATACTGTAACTCCCTTTCCCGATTCAAACACCGCCAAGAGTTTGAGACAACAGCAGGGGAATATATAGTATGTCACTTACTCACAACAAATGGCAATGACGTGATACATTCTTTAGGTTGGCCGAGTTAAACACTGTGCCGATAGAAAGGTGCGATGCATGTGAAAACAGGGTGAGAACTGCCACTAGAAGCAAGAAATGATTAGGGAGAACAGAAGAGAAAAAGTACAAATAAACAAGCCAAAGTCTTGGATAATGGAAGTCATGAGAGTAGGGAACAAGCCAGGTCAAATCCAAGACTAACGTTAAAAATGTATTGCCACAATGTTTAGGTAGAATGGTGCTCAACGGACATTGAGTGACAGGCCCAATGAGTTTGACGTTCAGTATTATGGGACACTAAATAATGCTGAAGGGCAGAGTTTAGAGTCAAATTGTAGCATCAATGAGACGCAGAATCAGGGCCGGGGGAAGGATTTTTGCCGCCCTAGGCAAAAGTAAAGTTTGCCGCCCCCCAATTTGACATCACAATGCCCCACCCATATGATCTGCCATGTTAACTAACGCCAGTACTGCAGTGCTGCCGTGTTGACATTAAAAGGCCTGCAGGGACAGGCTATAGACACCAGAACCACTACACCAGCTGCAGTGGTTCTGGGGATTATAGTGTTTCTTTAATGTGAGGTAAATTAGAGATTAGTGCCACGAATAATATACTAGATTGTGTACTTACAACCAGATGAGGATGATGATGGGCACTAGCTGCGGTCTGGCTCCACTGGTCTGGTGTAGAACAGGCTCTCTTGAGGCGGTTTGTAACAGTGGTCACAAAAATCAATGTTCTGGGAGAACGGGAAGCAGCTCCATTTTTTTGGGGCCCTTTACACAGCTCAAGGTCTGGGTCCCAGGGTCCACCTTCATGTTCCACCAATGAGTTTGTTCACAGGGGGTGGAGTGTGTAGGGGATGTCCTGATTTGTGTGTAAGGAATGCATTGTGTGAATCTGTGTTTGTATGTGTAAGGGCTGCAAGGTGTGTTTCTGTGTATGTACGGGATGCAGTGTGTGCGTCTGTAAGGGATGCATTGAGTGTGTGTAAGGGGTGCATTGAGTGTGTGTAAGGAAAGCGTTGTGTGTAAGGGTTGCATTGCTTGTGTGTGTGTGTCTGTGTGTGTAATGCATTGTGTGTTTTTCTGTGTTCAATGGGTGCATTGTCTTTGTGTAAGGGGTGCATTGTGTGATTGTGTGTGTGTGATGGATGTCAATCTCTCCCCCCTCTCTTGTCACTCTCTTCTCCCCCCTCTCCCTCCCTTGTCCCTCTCTTCTCCCCTCCCCTTCTCTTCTCCCCTCCCCAGTCTCATTCCCCCTGTCAATCTCCCCCCCTGTCAATTTCTTTCTCACCCCCATCAATTTCTTTCTCCCCCCAGTCAATTTCTTTCTCCCCCCTGTCAACTTCTTTCTCCCCCTCCATCAATTTCTTTCTCCCCCATCAATTTTCTTTCTCCCCATCAATTTCTTTCTCCCTCCCCTGTCAATTTCTTTCTCCCTCCATCAATTTCTTTCTCCCAGTCAATTTCTTTCTCCCCTGTCATTTCTTTCTCCCCTGTCAATTTCTTACTCCCCTCCATCAATTTCTTTCTCCCCAAGTCAATTTCTTTCCCCTGGCATTTCTTTCTCCCCCTCCCTGTCAATTTCTTTCTCCCTCCCGGTCAATTTCTTTCTCCCCCCCGGCAATTTCTTTCTTCCCCCCTGTCAATTTCTTTCTCCCCCCTCTCCTACCTCTGTTGTAGCGTGGCCGAGCCCTCTATGGTCCGCGGGTACAGGGAGCTTTTGTTTCCTATACCCGGCCGGTCTAAAAGGAAGTGCACACTCAGTGTTAGCCCGGCCAGGTACAGGAGACAGATGCTCCCTGTACCCGCGGACCATACAGAGCTCGGCCACACTACAGTGAGGGAGTGACAGGAGGGAGCCCCTCTCCTCATGCTGCGCCCGGGCGGTGCGCCCTCATGGACGCACCAGCCAGGTCAAAGCTGCAGCTGCCTGAGGCTCTCTACAGAGCGCTCGGGCTGCTGCAGCATGAGTAGGGCCAGTGCTCCTGGGGGCGCCCCTTCCCAAGGGGCGCCCTAGGCGGCTGCCTAGTCAGCCTAACAGGTAGCACCGGCCCTGCGCAGAACACAGGTGGTGCTTTGTAGGAGAAGTAGCTAACATTGCACAGAAGGAGTGTGGGGGGAAGAACTGAAAGTTTTCATGAAGAAAAAATAAACATGTAGAATAAACAAACATAGGAAGAACATTACATGTATGTAGTCTTGATTCCAATGGAATATATGATTTGGCTAAAATATAAAATTAAAACAATTATAAAAGGTTTCATGGAGAAAAAATAAAGATGTAGAATTTAGTATGAAATACATGATGAAGGTAATAAAAAATAAATTTACAAACATAGGAAGAACATTACGTGTAAGTAGTCTTGATTCCAATGGAATATATGAATGGGCTAAATTATAAAATTAAAACAATTATATTCATACTAAGGGCAGTTCATCACAGAAACATTTTGACTGCTAAGAATAAGAAACGTGTCTATATCTGATCTATATAGTGCGTATTATTTGCATCTGAGATACCAGAAGAGACAGAAAGAAGGAATAAAGAATATACTTGGAATTTATAAAGACATTAAGAGAGTCAGAAATACTGTTTATTAATTTACTGAAAGTTAGAAAATATTATCTGCTTGCATGCCCCTAAAAATCAAAATGGAATAGAAATGTGGTTGTTGCTGCAGCATCATGACAAAGGAGGATCAATGGTGGTAACTGTGAGAAGACAAACAGAATTGCTACAATGGTATCAAGTAGAAGACAGACAAAATTGTGACAAAAGAATATGAATTGGACAAAGCGTTCATTATATCTCAATAGAATGTTTTACAGGAGAGAGTTGGTTAAGTAGATTTATCTGATAAAGATACATGTAAACAACAGAATAAATAAGCATTTTCATTTAATTATAACAGTAAAAAAATGAAATAATTTCCTAAAAGTAAAAGAAGTGACAATATTATGATAACTGTATTGTTATATTCTTTCTACAACATGAATAATTGTAAGGACTTCCCCCTGCTGGAGAAACACAAAAGGAAAGTGACAGGAAATAGTTTTGGGGAAATCTAGTTATTTTAATGTAATTTTACTTTTGAAACATCTTAACATGCTCTTAGAATATAAATGATAAAACTTGGAGATGGAGCTAAAAGCACAGAATATACACTCTAAGCTCAGACTCTACAAAGCTCAAAGAAGATCAGCTAAACAGGTATGAATCTCCTCCACTCTGTGAGACTTTCTTTACATGACTGGATTCTGTTTTGTTAATAATGTTATTGTTTTTTTTTGTTTGTTTGTTTTTAGTGACAATGACTTGTGTAGTTTTAAAGACCTTCCTCATCTTGTCAAGTCTGGTCTCCCTCATCTATTCCCAAAACTGCAAATGGCTCCGTCCTCAACAGGAGAATTTGAACAAGGGGATCCTCCAAAGCTTCAACCAGATGGTAGGTTTCTGGTTTTCTTCTCACTTCTCCTAACATGGTAAGCTGTTTGCAAAAGATAAAATAAAACAAGGCGGATGCTTTTTACCATTTATTTTTATTCATCATTTTCAGAGACCTCTTGGGAAATCTTCTGGAACTTGTCCACAAAATACCACAATGGTTCCTAATATTGATGATCTCTACAACATCTCACAGGTAACTTCATCTTTATTTGTAAGAAAGGTCATTTTTGAGGGATTTCTAAAACTATAAATTTTCCTTCTACTATCTGCAGCTTGATAATGGTAACAGACAGACTTACACCTATTCTATTTCTCAGGTTGAAGAAGCTGCTATCGCTGCTCGTGACGTTACAAACCAAACAATCAGGTTCTATAAAAGAAACCATCAGAAATTCCAGTGCGATGAGAAGGCATGGGAAAGAATGGAGAAGCTACTCGATTACCAGCAAAATTTGCTGGATGATTGTGTAAGTGCCATACTCATGTATTGATATTTTCAGGATAACATTAGAAGATGATTTTAATAAAATTTCTTTATGTGGTTTTTCAGATCCCAGAAGGTGCAGAGAATCCTCGGTTTCAACAAAACATGTCAGAATATTTCATTTTATTACAGAAGATTGTGAATGAAGAGGTAAGTAATATTTCTCTACAGTGTTACCCAGCATATCTTCTTCACATTCAGGATGTTTGAAAGCATTATAGGGATGTAAAACTGACAAAACAGAATCTTGTGAAAATGTTTACAGAGTATAAAACATTCTACAGTCTCTTTATCTTATAAATAATATCTGTTATCTTTCTATTTCTCTTGTTTGACATTTATGGACTTCTTCTCCATGTCCTATCCTCCCCTGACTGCATGGAAGTTAATGTACACTTTCCTTTGTTAATTCCGGTAGGTGGATACATGTGCTTGTACCGTTGTTCAAGTAAACATCAAGAGGAATTTACAACTGGCTGCCCTACTATCCTCTCGAATGAGAAGAAAGCATCTCCTGAAAAACATCCCTATGCTCTAACAAGCTTATCTCGTAAAATATTTTGTATCTTTTTTATGTTCTTCCATTGGAAGGAATTACTACCCACCTTGCTTATTATCGGACCAAAAGGCGCTTTAAAATCCATGAACATTTAAAGTTATAGAGCAAAGTCGATTTCTGTACAGCAGAGCTTGAAATGGTAGCTAAATGACTTCATAGAGCACCATTTCCTTCTGTTTCTACTTCCGTAATATTTCCGTAATATTTAAAGTATTTATTTATTTAATGTATTTTTTTAAACTGCCAAAGTTTTTTATCTTTATATATACATATTTTTTAATAAAAATAAGTTAAAAACCTGAAAGTTTTGCATTGTTTATGTTTTCTGACATACAATTAGGTAATTATCGTTATTGTAGTGACGGCCATTAACAGTTACAAATGTATCAAATTTTGTTTAATTCTACATGTGGAATAATGTGTGCATTTCTCCAGTCTTAAATTTATTTAATCACCTGAATAGAATCCCTCATAACAGCATAGATATGCAAGACAGTTGTTGTCTAATTTACACCTGATGCAACTAATCAACTGGCTAGGGATTTGTTGAATGTCACATTAGACTGCATGCTAGAAATATGAACAAAGTCAAAAGAATAGTCCACAAAGTGAACTCTTCACAAAAGATAAGAGATCAGGAAGAGACTAGGAACAGGATACAAAAAGAAAGTGACGGCAACAAATGTTTCTAGAGACACCGTTGGAAGCATAGTTTGCAAGTTCAAAGTTGAAGGAACAGTGGTTACACTACCTGGATGGGGCAGAAAAAAGAAGCTATCAAGGCAGGTTCTGAAAAACCTTTAAGTGACTGCAAAAGACCTGCAGCAAGACTTGGTGGCAACAGTCACTGAGGTGTCAGAGAGCACAGTAAGGCGAGTACTAAACGCGGAAGGTTTCCATGCCAGAACTCCACTATTAACCCAAAAGCACATGAAAAGCCGGCTACAATATGGCCGAAATTATATAAATAAGCCAAAGAAGTTTGGAGATTCTGTTCTGTGGAGCGATGAAACAAAACTGGAAGTTTAAGGCACTTTAGATTAGTGGTATGAGTGGAGGAAGAAGAATGAAGCATATGTTGAAAAGAACACTCTGCCTACAATTAAGCATGGTGGTGATTCGTAATGCCTTGGGACTGCTTTGAATCCTCTGGCACTGGAATCCTCCAGCATGTGGAAGGCAAGATGGATTCATTGAAGTATCAGGAAATCCTAGGAGAAAACATTATGTCCTCTGCAAGGAAACTGGAGCTTGGGCGTCATTGGGCCTGCCAACAAGACAATGATCCCAAGCACACCTCACATTCTACCAAATATTGGTTGCAGAAGAAGTCCTGGGAAATTATGCAGTGGCCATCACAGTTACCTGACTTAAATCCCAAAGAAAATTTCTAGTGGAATTTGAAGAAGGCTGTTAGAGCACGCAAACCCAAGTATATTACTGAACTGGAGGTCACTGTTGATGAGCAATGGGCTAAGATTCCGCAGGAATGCTTGCAAAAGCTGGTGTCTAGCTATGCAACTCATTTGCCGCAGGTCATAACAGAAAAACGGTGCTCTACTAAGTACTAAAGATACTTGCCATGAAGGAGTTGAATCATTTTGAGACTTGAGAAATCATTGTAAGTTGCATTTTCAGTTAAAGTTGGGGAAAACACTTGACGGATCCATTGTGTTGAGCTATTTCAATTGCTTTTGTTTGATTTATTCATTGAAAACAGCTTAGAGTCTGTAAATTTAATAAATAAACAATAAACTTGTTTTTTAATGTAATTGCATAGTTTTGATTACAACTTTATATATTTCCCTCATATCTACCACCTAATGGGTATGGTCTCTCTATCCAAGAGAAATGCTTGACATCCATTAGGCAACAAGGGGGTTTTAAGTGCTTTCTCAATTTGGTTTACACTGGCTACATTCTCATTGGTTAATGCCTGAATTTGGTGGACAAACTGATTGAACATCAGTATGACAGGATGCTATAAGACCCAACATGCCAAACTTAGAGTTAGCTAGTATCTAACTAAGAGATAGGAAAAGGAAAACAAAAGAAGGTGACCTAAAACCCGTCTTTAAGATGGCTGTCTTTAAATCAGTGAAAAAAGAAAGATGAACTGCACCTGAAAACGGGTGGAGAATAGTCAGAAGCAAGAAACCTTGAAGGATAACAGAAGAGCCACAATACAAGTAAACAAGCCAAAGTTTAGAATAACAGATATCAGGAGATGCAGGATCAAGCCGCGTCAAAACCAAATAAGACTGAACAATAGGAACACAGTGTCGAGTAAACAGTAACCATGAAAGGACAATAAGTACATAGGAATAACGTCAAACATGCATTGCCAGAACGTTCAGGTAGAACGTGCTCAACAATTGGGACATGTCCCGTGAGTTTGTCAGTATCACAGAAACATTTTGACTGCTAAGAATAAGAAACGTGTCTATATCTGATCTATATAGTGCGTATTATTTGCATCTGAGATACCAGAAGAGACAGAAAAAAGGAATAAAGAATATACTTGGAATTTATAAAGACATTAAGAGAGTCAGAAATACTGTTTATTAATTTACTGAAAGTTAGAAAATATTATCTGCTTGCATGCCCCTAAAAATCAAAATGGAATAGAAATGTGGTTGTTGCTGCAGCATCATGACAAAGGAGGATCAATGGTGGTAACTGTGAGAAGACAAACAGAATTGCTACGATGGTATCAAGTAGAAGACAGACAAAATTCTGACAAAAGAATATGAATTGGACAAAGCGTTCATTATATCTCAATAGAATGTTTTACAGGAGAGAGTTGGTTAAGTAGATTTATCTGATAAAGATACATGTAAACAACAGAATAAATAAGCATTTTCATTTAATTATAACAGTAAAAAAATGAAATAATTTCCTAAAAGTAAAAGAAGTGACAATATTATGATAACTGTATTGTTATATTCTTTCTACAACATGAATAATTGTAAGGACTTCCCCCTGCTGGAGAAACACAAAAGGAAAGTGACAGGAAATAGTTTTGGGGAAATCTAGTTATTTTAATGTAATTTTACTTTTGAAACATCTTAACATGCTCTTAGAATATAAATGATAAAACTTGGAGATGGAGCTAAAAGCACAGAATATACACTCTAAGCTCAGACTCTACAAAGCTCAAAGAAGATCAGCTAAACAGGTATGAATCTCCTCCACTCTGTGAGACTTTCTTTACATGACTGGATTCTGTTTTGTTAATAATGTTATTGTTTTTTTTGTTTGTTTGTTTTTAGTGACAATGACTTGTGTAGTTTTAAAGACCTTCCTCATCTTGTCAAGTCTGGTCTCCCTCATCTATTCCCAAAACTGCAAATGGCTCCGTCCTCAACAGGAGAATTTGAACAAGGGGATCCTCCAAAGCTTCAACCAGATGGTAGGTTTCTGGTTTTCTTCTCACTTCTCCTAACATGGTAAGCTGTTTGCAAAAGATAAAATAAAACAAGGCGGATGCTTTTTACCATTTATTTTTATTCATCATTTTCAGAGACCTCTTGGGACATCTTCTGGAACTTGTCCACAAAATACCACAATGGGCTAAGATTCCGCAGGAATGCTAGCAAAAGCTGGTGTCTAGCTATGCAAATCATTTGCCGCAGGTCATAACAGAAAAACGGTGCTCTACTAAGTACCAAAGTTTAGAATAACAGATATCAGGAGATGCAGGATCAAGCCGCGTCAAAACCAAATAAGACTGAACAATAGGAACACAGTGTCGAGTATACAGTAACCATGAAAGGACAATAAGTACATAGGAATAACGTCAAACATGCATTGCCAGAACGTTCAGGTAGAACGTGCTCAACAATTGGGACATGTCCCGTGAGTTTGTCATTCAATATTGTAGAACACAAAATAACATTGAAAGGCAGAATTCAGTGTCAAAATCGTAGTATCAATGACACACAGAACACAGAAAAAATAAAAATCACAAACGTATGAAGAACAGTACATATAAGTAGTCTTGATTCTAATGAAAAATATAATCTGCCAAAAATATATAATTAAAATAATAATACTTTTACTAAGGGCATATTATTTTGAAATACTGTAACTCCCTTTCCCGATTCAAACACCGCCAAGAGTTTGAGACAACAGCAGGGGAATATATAGTATGTCACTTACTCACAACAAATGGCAATGACGTGATACATTCTTTAGGTTGGCCGAGTTAAACACTGTGCCGATAGAAAGGTGCGATGCATGTGAAAACAGGGTGAGAACTGCCACTAGAAGCAAGAAATGATTAGGGAGAACAGAAGAGAAAAAGTACAAATAAACAAGCCAAAGTCTTGGATAATGGAAGTCATGAGAGTAGGGAACAAGCCAGGTCAAATCCAAGACTAATGTTAAAAATGTATTGCCACAACGTTTAGGTAGAATGGTGCTCAACGGACATTGAGTGACAGGCCCAATGAGTTTGACGTTCAGTATTATGGGACACTAAATAATGCTGAAGGGCAGAGTTTAGAGTCAAATTGTAGCATCAATGAGACGCAGAATCAGGGCCGGGGGAAGGATTTTTGCCGCCCTAGGCAAAAGTAAAGTTTGCCGCCCCCCAATTTGACATCACAATGCCCCACCCATATGATCTGCCATGTTAACTAACGCCAGTACTGCAGTGCTGCCGTGTTGACATTAAAAGGCCTGCAGGGACAGGCTATAGACACCAGAACCACTACACCAGCTGCAGTGGTTCTGGGGATTATAGTGTTTCTTTAATGTGAGGTAAATTAGAGCTTAGGGCCACGAATAATATACTAGATTGTGTACTTACAACCAGATGAGGATGATGATGGGCACTAGCTGCGGTCTGGCTCCACTGGTCTGGTGCAGAACAGGCTCTCTTGAGGCGGTTTGTAACAGTGGTCACAAAAATCAATGTTCTGGGAGAACGGGAAGCAGCTCCATTTTTTTGGGGCCCTTTACACAGCTCAAGGTCTGGGTCCCAGGGTCCACCTTCATGTTCCACCAATGAGTTTGTTCACAGGGGGTGGAGTGTGTAGGGGATGTCCTGATTTGTGTGTAAGGAATGCATTGTGTGAATCTGTGTTTCTATGTGTAAGGACTGCAAGGTGTGTTTCTGTGTATGTACGGGATGCAGTGTGTGCGTCTGTAAGGGATGCATTGAGTGTGTGTAAGGGGTGCATTGAGTGTGTGTAAGGAAAGCGTTGTGTGTAAGGGTTGCATTGCTTGTGTGTGTGTGTCTGTGTGTGTAATGCATTGTGTGTTTTTCTGTGTTCAATGGGTGCATTGTCTTTGTGTAAGGGGTGCATTGTGTGATTGTGTGTGTGTGTGATGGATGTCAATCTCTCTCCCCTCTCTTGTCACTCTCTTCTCCCCCCTCTCCCTCCCTTGTCCCTCTCTTCTCCCCTCCCCCTCTCTTCTCCCCTCCCCAGTCTCATTCCCCCCTGTCAATCTCCCCCCCTGTCAATTTCTTTCTCACCCCCATCAATTTCTTTCTCCCCCCAGTCAATTTCTTTCTCCCCTCCCCCTGTCAATTTCTTTCTCCCCTCCCCCTGTCAATTTTCTTCTTTCTCCCCTCCATCAATTTCTTTCTCATCAATTTCTTTCTCCCCCCAGTCAATTTCTTTTCTCCCCATCAATTTCTCCCCTGTCAATTTCTTACTCCCCCTCCATCAATTTCTTTCTCCCCAAGTCTATTTCTTTTCCCCTGTCCAATTTCTTTCTCCCCATCAATTTCTTTCTCCCCTGTCAATTTCTTTCTCCCCCCCTCCTGTCAATTTCTTTCTCCCTCCCCGGTCAATTTCTTTCTCCCCCCCGGCAATTTCTTTCTTCCCCCCTGTCAATTTCTTTCTCCCCCCTCTCCTACCTCTGTTGTAGCGTGGCCGAGCCCTCTATGGTCCGCGGGTACAGGGAGCTTTTGTTTCCTATACCCGGCCGGTCTAAAAGGAAGTGCACACTCAGTGTTAGCCCGGCCAGGTACAGGAGACAGATGCTCCCTGTACCCGCGGACCATACAGAGCTCGGCCACACTACAGTGAGGGAGTGACAGGAGGGAGCCCCTCTCCTCATGCTGCGCCCGGGCGGTGCGCCCTCATGGACGCACCAGCCAGGTCAAAGCTGCAGCTGCCTGAGGCTCTCTACAGAGCGCTCGGGCTGCTGCAGCATGAGTAGGGCCAGTGCTCCTGGGGGCGCCCCTTCCCAAGGGGCGCCCTAGGCGGCTGCCTAGTCAGCCTAACAGGTAGCACCGGCCCTGCGCAGAACACAGGTGGTGCTTTGTAGGAGAAGTAGCTAACATTGCACAGAAGGAGTGTGGGGGGAAGAACTGAAAGTTTTCATGAAGAAAAAATAAAGATGTAGAATAAACAAACATAGGAAGAACATTACATGTATGTAGTCTTGATTCCAATGGAATATATGATTTGGCTAAAATATAAAATTAAAACAATTATAAAAGGTTTCATGGAGAAAAAATAAAGATGTAGAATTTAGTATGAAATACATGATGAAGGTAATAAAAAATAAATTTACAAACATAGGAAGAACATTACGTGTAAGTAGTCTTGATTCCAATGGAATATATGAATGGGCTAAATTATAAAATTAAAACAATTATATTCATACTAAGGGCAGTTCATCACAGAAACATTTTGACTGCTAAGAATAAGAAACGTGTCTATATCTGATCTATATAGTGCGTATTATTTGCATCTGAGATACCAGAAGAGACAGAAAGAAGGAATAAAGAATATACTTGGAATTTATAAAGACATTAAGAGAGTCAGAAATACTGTTTATTAATTTACTGAAAGTTAGAAAATATTATCTGCTTGCATGCCCCTAAAAATCAAAATGGAATAGAAATGTGGTTGTTGCTGCAGCATCATGACAAAGGAGGATCAATGGTGGTAACTGTGAGAAGACAAACAGAATTGCTACAATGGTATCAAGTAGAAGACAGACAAAATTGTGACAAAAGAATATGAATTGGACAAAGCGTTCATTATATCTCAATAGAATGTTTTACAGGAGAGAGTTGGTTAAGTAGATTTATCTGATAAAGATACATGTAAACAACAGAATAAATAAGCATTTTCATTTAATTATAACAGTAAAAAAATGAAATAATTTCCTAAAAGTAAAAGAAGTGACAATATTATGATAACTGTATTGTTATATTCTTTCTACAACATGAATAATTGTAAGGACTTCCCCCTGCTGGAGAAACACAAAAGGAAAGTGACAGGAAATAGTTTTGGGGAAATCTAGTTATTTTAATGTAATTTTACTTTTGAAACATCTTAACATGCTCTTAGAATATAAATGATAAAACTTGGAGATGGAGCTAAAAGCACAGAATATACACTCTAAGCTCAGACTCTACAAAGCTCAAAGAAGATCAGCTAAACAGGTATGAATCTCCTCCACTCTGTGAGACTTTCTTTACATGACTGGATTCTGTTTTGTTAATAATGTTATTGTTTTTTTTGTTTGTTTGTTTTTAGTGACAATGACTTGTGTAGTTTTAAAGACCTTCCTCATCTTGTCAAGTCTGGTCTCCCTCATCTATTCCCAAAACTGCAAATGGCTCCGTCCTCAACAGGAGAATTTGAACAAGGAGATCTTCCAAAGCTTCAACCAGATGGTAGGTTTCTGGTTTTCTTCTCACTTCTCCTAACATGGTAAGCTGTTTGCAAAAGATAAAATAAAACAGGACAGATGCTTTTTACCATTTATTTTTCTTCATCATTTTCAGAGACCTCTTGGGACATCTTCTGGAACTTGTCCACAAAATACCATAATGGTTCCTAATATTGATGATCTCTACAACATCTCACAGGTAACTTCATCTTTATTTGTAAGGAAGGTCATTTTTGAGGGATTTCGAAAACTAGAAATTTTCCATCTACTATCTGCAGCTTGATAATGGTAACAGACAGACTTACACCTATTCTATTTCTCAGGTTGAAGAAGCTGCTATCGCTGCTCATGATGTTACAAACCAAACAATCAGGTTCTATAAAAGAAACCATCAGAAACTCCAGTGCGATGAGAAGGCCTGGGAAAGAATGGAGAAGCTACTCGATTACCAGCAAAATTTGCTGGATGATTGTGTAAGTGCCATACTCATGTATTGATATTTTCAGGATAACATTAGAAGATGATTGTAATAAAAATTCTTTATGTGGTTTTTCAGATCCCAGAAAGTGCAGAGAATCCTAAGTTTCAACAAAACATGTCAGAATATTTCATTTTATTACAGAAGATTGTGAATGAAGAGGTAAGTAATATTTCTCTACAGTGTTACCCAGCATATCTTCTTCACATTCAGGATGTTTGAAAGCATTATAGGGATATAAAACTGACAAAACAGAATCTTGTGAAAATATTTACAGAGTATAAAACATTCTACTGTCTCTTTATCTTATAGATAATATCTGTTATTTCTCTTGTTTGACATTTATGGACTTCTTCTCCATGTCCTATCCTCCCCTGACTGCATTGAAGTTAATGTACACTTTCCTTTGTCAATTCCGGTAGGTGGATACATGTGCTCGTACCGTTGTTCAAGTAAACATCAAGAGGAATTTACAACTGGCTGCCCTACTATCCTCTCGAATGAGAAGAAAGCATCTCCTGAAAAACATCCCTATGCTCTAACAAGCTTATCTCGTAGAATATTTTGTATCTTTTTTATGTTCTTCCATTGGAAGGAATTACTACCCACCTTGCTTATTATGGGACCAAATGCGCTGTAAACTCCATGAACATTTAACCCCTTAAGGACCGAGGACGGTTCAGGACCGTCATCGGCATTTTTGCCTTGAGGACCGATGACGGTCCTGAACCGTCCTAACGGTCAGAGGGTACTTACCTGATCGCCGTCGTTCCCCCGGCGGCGATCAGCGTGGCTCCGGTTGTGGGGAGACTGCCTGCAGCCCAGACAGTCTCCCCACACTGATTAGGACCCCTGTGGCCATGTGATCGCTTAACACAGCGATCACATGGTCACAATAGGTGTCCTAGTGTCTGCCTGCAGGGGGACTGTCTGTGCTGACAGGCAGTCTCCCTGCTAGTGTAAAATCATAAAATAAAATAAAGTTAATGGTAATAAAAAAAATAATAATAATTATATATGTGTATATATGATATATAGACATATATTATATCTATATAATATATGTCTATATATCATATATATATAATGTCATACTAAGTGTATTTTTATATTAATATGTACTTATATTAATATAAAAATACACTTATAATTAAATTACACACGTATATATATAATATATATAATAACTATATATATTGTATATATATTATTATAAAATATAAATAATAAGTAATTTAAATTAAATAAAAATTTTTTTAAATAATAATAAAAAATTTAAAAAAAATTATATAGCTATATGAAATTTTATTCTAACTGTATTTTAAAATTAATAAATATATATTTATATCAAAATACACTTAGAATGAATTTGTATATATATCTATGTATATAAAAATAAATAAAAATAATAGGAAATATACATACGTCCATATACAAAATTACATAAATAATTATATAAATATACACGTAGACTTCAAATATATAAATATGCATATATATTTAAATTCTACGTGCGTATTTATGTAATATTTTTTACATAATTTAGTAACTTTATTGATTGCAATTTGAGGGACCTGCCTGCCAACCCAGGCCAAAATTCCAGAGAATTTAATTTGCTAGCACTGTATTTTACCCTGTAACGTTCTACGACACCCTAAAACCTGTACATGGGGGGTACTGTTTTACTCGGGAGACTTCGCTGAACACAAATATTAGTGATTCAAAATAGTAAAACATATCACAGTGATGATATTGTCAGTGAAAGTGACTTTTTTTGCATTTTTCACACACAAACAGCACTTTTACTGATGATATAATTGTTGTGATATGTTTTCCAGTTTTTAAAACACTAATATTTGTGTTCAGCGATGTCTCCCGAGTAAAACAGTACCCCCATGTACAGGTTTTATAGCATTTTTGAAAGTTACAAGGTCAAATATATGGGTCAAATATTTTTACATTGAAAATGGCCAGGTTGGTTACGTTGCCTTTGAGAGCGTATGGTAGCCCAGGAATGAGAATTACCCCCATGATGGCATACCATTTGCAAAAGAAGACAACCCAAGGTATTGCAAATGGGGTATGTCCAGTCTTTTTTAGTAACCACTTGGTCACAAACACTGGCCAAAATTAGCGTTCAATTTAGTTTTTTTACTTTTTCACACACAAACAAATATGAATGCTTACTTTGGCCAGTGTTTTCGACTAAGTGGCTACTAAAAAAGACTGGACATACCCCATATTGAATACCCTGGGTTGTCTACTTTAAAAATATGTACATGTGGGGTGTTATTCAGAGATTTATGACAGATAATAGTGTTACAATGTCACTATTGATAAATTTTAAAAATGTATGTTTTGAAACCGCAATATCCTACTTGTACCTATAGCCCTATAACATGCAAAAAAAAGCAAAAAAGCACGTAAACACTGGGTATTTTTAAACTCAGGACAAAATTTTGAATCTATTTAGCAGTTTTTTTCATTCGCTTTTGTAGATGAGTAAAAGATTTTTCAAGTAAAAGTCAAAAAACATGTATTTTTTCAATTTTTCATCAGATTTTTGTATTTTTTTTAAATTAAAATACATGAGATTATATAAATAATGGTATGTAAAGAAAGCCCCTTTTGTCCTGAAAAAAACAATATATAATTTGTATGGGAACAGTAAATGAGAAAGCGGAAAATTACAGCCAAACACAAACACCACAAAAGTGTAAAAATATGCCTGGTCGCAAATGTACAACATCGCAAAAACAGTCCAGTCCTTAAGGGGTTAAAGTTATAGAGCAAAGTCGATTTCTGTACAGCCGAGCTTGAAATGGTAGCTAAATGACTTCATAGAGCACCATTTCCTTCTGTTTCTACTTCCGTAATATTTCCGTAATATTTAAAGTATTTATTTAATGTATTTTTTTTAAACTGCCATATTTTTATATCTTTATATATATATATTTTTTAATAAAAATAAGTTAAAAACCTGTAAGTTTTGCATTGTTTATGTTTCCTGACGTACAATTAGGTCATTATCGTTATTGTAGTGACGGCCATTAACAGTTACAAATGTATCAAATTTTGTTTAATTCTACATGTGGAATGATGTGTGCATTTCTCCAGTCTTAAAATTATTTAATCGCCTGAATAGTATCCCTCATAACAGCATAGATATGCAAGACAGTTGTTGTCTAATTTACACCTGATGCAACTAATCAACTGGCTAGGGATTTGTTGAATGTCACATTAGACTGCATGCTAGAAATATGAACAAAGTCAAAAGAGTAGTCCACAAAGTGAACTCTTCACGAAAGATAAGAGATCAGGAAGAGACTAGGAACAGGATACAAAAAGAAAGTGACGGCAACAAATGTTTCTAGAGACACCGTTGGAAGCATAGTTCGCAAGTTCAAAGTTGAAGGAACAGTGGTTACACTACCTGGATGGGGCAGAAAAAAGAAGCTATCAATGACTGCAACCAGATTTCTGAGAAGGCAGGTTCTGAAAAACCTTTAAGTGACTGCAAAAGACCTGCAGCAAGACTTGGTGGCAACAGTCACTGAGGTTTCAGAGAGCACAGTAAGGCGAGTACTAAACGCGGAAGGTTTCCATGCCAGAACTCCACTATTAACCCAAAAGCACATGAAAAGCCGGCTACAATATGGCCGAAATGATATAAATAAGCCGAAGAAGTTTGGGGATTCTGTTCTGTGGAGCGATGAAACAAAACTGGAAGTTTAAGGCACTTTAGATTAGTGGTATGAGTGGAGGAAGAAGAATGAAGCATATGTTGAAAAGAACACCCTGCCTACAATTAAGCATGGTGGTGATTCGTAATGCCTTGGGACTGCTTTGAATCCTCTGGCACTGAAATCCTCCAGCATGTGGAAGGCAAGATGGATTCATTGAAGTATCAGGAAATCCTAGGAGAAAACATTATGTCCTCTGTAAGGAAACTGGAGCTTGGTCGTCATTGGGCCTGCCAACAAGACAATGATCCCAAGCATACCTCACATTCTACCAAGTATTGGTTGCAGAAGAAGTCCTGGGAAATTATGCAGTGGCCATCACAGTTACCTGACTTAAATCCCAAAGAAAATTTCTGGTGGAATTTGAAGAAGGCTGTTAGAGCACGCAAACCCAAGTATATTACTGAACTGGAGGTCACTGTTGATGAGAAATGGGCTAAGATTCCGCAGGAATGCTAGCAAAAGCTGGTGTCTAGCTATGCAAATCATTTGCCGCAGGTCATAACAGAAAAACGGTGCTCTACTAAGTACCAAAGTTTAGAATAACAGATATCAGGAGATGCAGGATCAAGCCGCGTCAAAACCAAATAAGACTGAACAATAGGAACACAGTGTCGAGTATACAGTAACCATGAAAGGACAATAAGTACATAGGAATAACGTCAAACATGCATTGCCAGAACGTTCAGGTAGAACGTGCTCAACAATTGGGACATGTCCCGTGAGTTTGTCATTCAGTATTGTAGAACACTAAATAACATGGAAGGGCAGAATTCAGAGTCAAAATCGAAGGATCAATGACACACAGAACACAGAAAAATAAAAATCACAAACATATGAAGAACATTACATATAAGTAGTCTTGATTCTAATGAAAAATATAATCTGCCAAAAATATGTAATTCAAATAATAATACTTTTACTAAGGGCATATTATTTTGAAATACTGTAACTCCCTTTGAGACAACAGCAGGGGAATATATAGTATGTCACTTACTCACAACAAATGGCAATGACGTGATATTCTTTAGGATGGCCGAGTTTAACACTGTGCCGATAGAAAGGTACGATGAATGTGAAAACAGGGTGAGAACTGCCACTAGAAGCAAGAAATGATTAGGGAGAACAGAAGAGAAAAAGTACAAATAAACAAGCCAAAGTCTTGGATAATGGAAGTCATGAGTAGGGAACAAGCCAGGTCAAATCCAAGACTAATGTTAAAAATGTATTGCCACAACGTTTAGGTAGAATGGTGCTCAACGAACATTCGTAATGCCTTGGGACTGCTTTGAATCCTCTGGCACTGGAATCCTCCAGCGTGTGGAAGGCAAGATGGATTCATTGAAGTATCAGGAAATCCTAGGAGAAAACATTATGTCCTCTGCAAGGAAACTGGAGCTTGGGCGTCATTGGGCCTGCCAACAAGACAATGATCCCAAGCATACCTCACATTCTACCAAATATTGGTTGCAGAAGAAGTCCTGGGAAATTATGCAGTGGCCATCACAGTTACCTGACTTAAATCCCAAAGAAAATTTCTGGTGGAATTTGAAGAAGGCTGTTAGAGCACGCAAACCCAAGTATATTACTGAACTGGAGGTCACTGTTGATGAGCAATGAGCTAAGATTCCGCAGGAATGCTTGCAAAAGCTGGTGTCTAGCTATGCAACTCATTTGCCGCAGGTCATAACAGAAAAACGGTGCTCTACTAAGTACTAAAGATACTTGCCATGAAGGAGTTGAATCATTTTGAGACTTGAGAAATCATTGTAAGTTGCATTTTCAGTTAAAGTTGGGGA